CACCACTTCGTTCTAGCGACTTTAGCCCGCTTATCCCGCTGGACACGAATCCGAAAGCGGAAGTCAGCAACCACCAGCTTATGCTGGGGTACAACACTCTCTCCAGGTATCACCTTACAGTCTAGGCACGCACGCCTATGTTCCCTTCTCGAGAGGATGAAATCAATCTGGCTAGAGTGTTGGCCACTACTAAAAGTCACCAGATGTGATTCTCTCTTTCTAAAGAGGGTGTTGGCTACAATCATGTTGTAGGCTAGAGCAAAGCTTAAGACATCTTCTCCTTCTTGATTCCTGATGCCATAGCCAAAGCCCCCATGCGCCCCTTCAAAACCTGTGTTAGATGTACCCACGTGGCCATTGAGGTCTCCTCCTATGAAGAGCTTCTCACCAATCGGTACACTCCTAACCATGTCTTCCAGGCCTTCCCAGAACTCCCTCTTGGTGTTCTCATTGTGGCCTACTTGCGGGTTCCGATGTGGCGCGTCGCTGAGAGGGTTACGCCCCAACGAAAATCTTTTGGGTTTCATCTCCATAAGAGTGGCTGAGTTTTTACGTTGGCTCGCCAAGCCTATCACAACCCTCCTCCTTTACCCGGGCTTGGGACCGGCTATGTTGAGACAACATAGGCGGAGTTGTTGTAGGTCACAATGTCCACACATATTCCGCTGTCAATCATCCTGAGATAGAGTTCATTTGCAGCAACAGTCCTTCCAGTATGAAATAACCCATGCAGCACTGTGTTATAAGTGATAACGCAAGGCTTAACTTTCTTGTCCAACATTTCACTGAAAACAGCTAACGCATCATCTATCATTCCATTCTTAAAGTAACCATCAATCAGTGTGTTATAGGTGACAACATCCGGTTCCATGCCAATTGAGACCATATGGTCAAGTAACTTCCTCACTTCATCCATCTTACCAATGAAAAAGTATCCACCCATCAGTGTGTTATAAGTATGCACGTCAGGCTTCAAACCCATGTGTATCATCAGGTCAGCGAGATCTTGGGATTCCATAACCCTTCCATTTTTGCAAAGGTGATCCATAATTGTGTTGAAGAACACGTTGTCGGGATAGATGCCACGATTCAACATTTCAGCAAGTAGTTCATGAACCTTCTCCCATTTTCCACAAGAAAAAAAACCACTTATAAGAGTGTTGAAAACTATGATATCAGGAACTAATTCTTCAGTTATCATTTGATTGAATTGCAACATAGCATCATCCATTCGGCCAATACTGCAGAGTAAGTTTATTACTGTTCCATAGTTCACAGCATTTGGGTTCAATCCTTGCTGCCGCATTTTTGTAAATATGTGCATTACATCATCAACCATTTTCCCCTTAGCATATGCGTCTATCAGTATGTTGTACACAGAATGATTTGGTGCAACACCATTTTCTACCATCAATTCAATGAGACAATGCATATCATGAAATGACTGTTCCATAGCATACGCATGAAGCAGAATACTGTAGCTAGTAACGTTCGGTTTTTGGTCCTTTCCGGCCATAGAATCAAAAATCGTCCTAGCTTCCGCACATCTTCTACTCTTGCAAAGATAATCCATCTATATGTTGTAAGTTGCAATATCTGGCTGAACACCATTCCTAGACATTTTCTTGAAAACACGAACCACCTCTTCGCACTGTCCTGATGAATAATATCTGTGTATCAGACTATCATATGTAGTAATATTTGGCAGAATACCTGTATCAAACATCTGTTGAAGGACCTCCTCGGCCTTGAACCTTGCACATGCCAAAGATGATTGAGCTATACGTCACAACATTCGGTGAAATCCCCTGATGTAGCATTTCACAAAGTAGGCTGTAAGCTTTGTTCACCTCACCCTCTTTCAACAGGCCATCAACTACAGTGCTATAGGACACCACCACATTAGGTTGGCAGCTACCTCCAGCATCGGCCATCATGTGAATAAGCTCAAGAGCCTCTTGACTTCTCTTCTCAACACAGAGACCTTTGAGAAGAATGCTGTAGGAGAAAACATTCGGTGTGCAGTTAAACTCGAGCATTCACCGGAGTGCGATGTCCATTGCATAGCTGGTCTTGTTCTCCGGCCCGCATGGCAGCAGCAGCCGACGAGTATGCTGTAGGTGACATTGTGGGGGGCACCTTGGCTCTTGCGACCCGGTTGAAGAGACCGACGACGTAGAGGAGGCAGTTGATGGCGCGGGTCAACGAGGGCCCGGCAACATGGAGCAATTCGTCGAACAGGTGGAGTGCCTCCTCGGTGCCAATGTTTCCCGCGCGGTACCGCTCCTCGATGTTCCGCTCCAAGACACGTCGGACGATGCGGCGGCTCGTAGCCCCCACCTGGCCAGAACCTCGCAACAGGAGAGGACGCCGCCGCCGCCGCCGCCGCTCACCGCCTGATGCAGCCTGCGCCTGAACCTGGGATTAGAAACAACGAAAGCAGAGTTAGGAGGCTAGCTTGCTTTATGGCCTCCGACGCCGCTCGCCGCCACGATGCTCACCATCAAGCAGCGCGAACTGGTCGACACCGACATGGCGAGACGTGCCGCCCAGACGCGGGCGAGGACGGCCCTAGCCGCTTGGTGCTGTCCTGGCGCGGAGGAAGACGAAAGGAGAATCTCCACCGCGCATCCGCGCCACGCCGCCACAGTTCCACACCCTCCCTCGGCGGTGTCTGCTGTCCGCGACGACGCAGGGCGAGACGTGCCTCCACCGCAGCTCGAGAGGGCCTCAACGCCGCCGCCCCTCCCGTATTCCGCCGTCGCCGCCGGTCAGCACGCCTAGCGTCTGAGAACCAATGGGACCCACCTGTAAGCACTTAACTAGAGCCAAGTCTTTTACTACTTGTCGCTGAAAACTAATCTTTGCCCGTCGGTGTACTCTTTTCTCTACTAGAGACTTCACCAATAAATTTTGTCATAAAATTATGTTGATTTACACAAATATTGTATTCCTCTAACCCATATTACTTGTCGTTCAAAAGGATGTGTCTACTTATCGTTTAAATGAATGTAACTAAACGTATTTCAGTGTCAGATAAAAGCGACAAGTAATATGAAACAAATGAAGTAGTAAAAATTTATGTGTAGTCAAAAGTTTAAACAGAAAACTGAACTTCAAACTTAACTGCTTCATATTCCCTCGGTGATAGTGTCAAAATGGTCCTACATTTTAGGATGGAGAAAGTAGTTGACATCATGACACCATTGCTTAGTTGTAATGAGAGGATAGCAGAGGCTTCGCCAAGTTTAATCATGTGCACATTGTCCTAATTTGGAAGAAAGTTGATGCGGAGGAGGTTGGCGACTTATGCCAATAAGCCTGCCTCATAGCTTCTCTTAGGCCCTGTTTGTTTGGGCTTTTGCTTCTGCTTTTGCAGTTTGTTCACTTTGATCAAAAAGCCATAAAAGCTCCTAAATGGGTGCTTTTGGAGCTAAATATTATTATATTGATTCATCAAAAGTCATAAAAAGCCCCGGAAGCACCTATTTAGGAGCTTTTATGGCTTTTTGGCCAGAGTGAAAAAGCTGCAAAAACAGAAGTAAAAGCCCAAACAAACAGGGTTGCGTAGAGGCTAGCAAATAGGGTGCAACGGTGCATGAAGGAAATTGTTGCCGTGAATCAATTTGTGTTCATCCCAGGGTGCAATTTTCACGACAACTTCCTTTTGATGCGACAGGTGGCCAGAAAAACTCACGCGAGGAAGAGGTCATGTTTGAAATTCTCCACGCGAAAGGCTTTGGCAACTCATGGCTTAGATGGGTGGCTATTCTCGTGCGATCCGCTAGCACAAGATCATAGTAAATGGAGTTCCTGACATGAGAATTGTACATGCACGTGGCTTACGCCAGGGAGATCCATCTAACCGCTACTATCTAAAACAATAAGGTGTGCATCAAGGAGGGTTGCTGGTGCATGCCACGTAGGATTTACTGTGCTGTCGATTGGGCAAGTTGTGTTGCTTTCTATTGGCTAGTCATTGGTCCGCCTCGTTTCAGCTTGGTTGTGGTGGGAGAGAAAGCTTACAAGGGAAGGCAAAGAAGGCATCTGTATGTCTGCAGCCCAAGTCGCACACCCGACGCTCTCCATCCCCACACGCAACCTCTTCCTCTCCTCCGCATCTTCCTTCAGGGGCCCTTGCGGCTACAGCAGAGGGCAGTCTAGGGGGCGAGCAGGATGGGGGACAACCGATTTCTTCGCCGGATCTGAAGCCCAGGGGCGACGCCGACAAGTAACCGGCGTCAATGTCGCCGCCGCCGTCGAGTCGAACGGAGGGTGGCTGTCCCTTGTATGGTCTTCTGACGACGCGCGGCCGTGGAGCGGCCCGGGCGTGCACCCTGACTACTCGCCCGAGGCGGGTGCTTCCGGCCGAGCGCCGGCCGCGGCGGCGAATTCCCGAAGACGGGTAATTGTCCCCTGTTGATTGTTCTGTGGCGTCTTGATGAATTCTGCGTGTTGGAAGGCTGCTGGAGAACAAGAACTGACGCCGTATGAAAGGCTGCCGGAGAGGGAGGCCGCTCTGAATTCATCTGTCTGTATGCTCCGTCTCTTGATGTCTGCAATGGAGATGATTTTGACCGTGTTGCTGCTCCTCTTTGTGCTGATATGTGCTCTTTTTCGACAGGTACCAAGTAAGCAGGCAGTTCGTCATCGTTCGTGAGTCTGTTTTGTTTGAGCTGACCTTCATCCGCAGTCAAGGTAGGATTCCAAATGTGTTCACCCATATATTATAGTTTTGCATGTGCTTAGGTTTGCTTTCTGTATTATGCGTCATAATTTGTTGTTCGCTGTTATTTGTGAGAAGCAGGGCAATGGGATCTCATCCCTGATATGTGCGATTCTTCTCAGAGTGGTGATTTCTCTCCGCCAAGAAGACATGGCAACTTGTGTAGAAAGAATAAGGCTACATCGGAGGTTCGTTTTCACATATATATTGTGTCCCAATGGTATTTATTAAGATGAATATATGTTCTATTTCCAAAAGCCCTTGCTCTTAGTATATGGTGATGCAACATTTCCGCAATAGGCTCAGAGATGAGGATCCAGAGAAATATTATACTCGGTCATCCTTTTGTATCAACTGTAAATGTGAGATCCCACTTGTCACGGAAGCTTTCTCTTATCCTTTTGCGTAAACCTATTCCCAGGTTGCCAAATCCTTGTTTTAATTGTAGATATTACAGCCATCTTACTTTTATTGCAGGGATACATGATCAGCACACAAGAGACTCTGAAATACACGAGCATGATGATGATTGTGACAGAGGAAGTGGAGGAAGAGAGCACAAAGATGTCTGGCTTACATCAAGGCTATTGTCTGGCTGCTTAGGTAAGTTACTTATACACAGACTTTCGGCTCATCTAATATGTGTCTTCATGTAGCATTTATGGGTGAACAATAGTGGTGACAAGCACCAATCAGTAAGAGGTAAAGACATAAAGTCGAGAAGCAACACCTGCCATATGGCACTCCCTGTTTCATGTTGTTTCTTATGTGATACGTAGATAACCTACAATGAAGGATTATGAGAATAATTTTCTTGCTATGCTCAGTTGTCACTAAAAATCCTCTTTGTAATTATCTTTTGGCTTAAAATTATGTCTGGTTGGTCTAACCAGATGGTGAAAGTGCATGCAATCTCTTTCACTACATATATCTATATAGAAGTTCTACTTTGAGGCTCAATAATGGTGCTTCTGTGCTTAATTTGTTGTCACTGATTGCATAAAGAAATTGTTAGGTGTTTCACATGTGTTCATGAACATAAAGTAAGATGCACTAGTCAACTTTCAATGCAAATATAGCATCTTCTATTCTGTACATGTTTGTTGGAATCCATGAGGGTGCAAGATTTAAGAGCAGCAGAGGGAGATGTCGATGAGGACATCAAGCCGAGGTGAGCCGCCGCCGATTTGCTCTGCGCTAGATCTCCACTTTTTTGTTGTTCTTCGTGCTCGGCGAATGGGCGATGGCGACGGCTGCCCTGGCTCCTCTTCCTCAGCTTCCTCAGGGTCGCGGCCTCATCCTTCCTCAAGCCCGTCATCTCCCGCAATCCTCTGTTCTTACGTTGTATTGCAACCTCGAGCTTAACTGCTCATCTTGGCTATGTGATGTGATGGGAACATATTTTGGGTGTTTGTTTTGTCATCTGATGATCTCTTGCCAACAAGCAGCCATACTAATTAAATTGACATATGTGTTGGACGCTTCTCATCTTCTCAGCTTCATCTTTGTTACCCAATACCTAAGGTACAAACCCAATTAAATTTTTGCGTGTGCTGCAGCAACAGCTTGCATCCATCCTCTCTTTATTGATGGCCTGGAGATTTTTTATGAGGGGAATCAAAAGGTTGCCGCAATTTCTGAAATTTCTTCCCCAAGTGAGCTGCAACTCATACAGCTAGACAATGTGGAAGTATAACACAGTGATTCACTTACCAAGGTGATTGGCAGGTCAGACAACCGAGCACTTCAATATCACCATACCATGTTTGCCTCTCTAACCCATTTGGAATTTATTCTGAAGTCCTGGCTTACATGGCATATATAGGCTCTCATATAGGTAAACCATTGTGCTTGATCTCTTTGCAATACTGACCTAGTCATATTATACTGTCTTATGTAAATTTTTGCGCCAAAAATTCAGGGATGCACTCAACTGTTAGCCTCACAAGCCTAAAAAAGAATGTTTTTGAAATTATCATGTTCTTGTTAGTAATCCTGAAGCAATGTGTAATGTATGTACACATGTCAATCTTTAATCGCAGTGTGTTCTGCAAATGTGTTCTGGTCGTCCTAATTTTCTGCCAGATAAATCAACCATTTCCATTTCTATGTTTTATTGAGAGAACTACAATGTTTTTGTTGTTGAAATCTGCATTCCTTATAATTTAGTAAGCATGGTCTGCAAGAGATTGTTCTGGATCATCCACGACAATTAATAATCATACATTGAGCGCGGCTACAGTATATTGGTTATGTAGTTGTGTGGATAAGGGTAGAGTTCATGCCGTTGACAGTTTCTTGCAACCATATTGTCATAAGTATCATGATGTGTCTTATCTAACTTTTCATGTAATATCCTTTTAGTAACATTCTTCCAACTTGTATGCATTACAAAAAGGAGCGGTCCTCATTTAGTATTTATAAATGAAAAGGTGTCTTTCTAAGCCATGGTCGTGAAAGATGATATACCTTGGACAACAAACAATGTCACCGCTAGATAAATGAACTAATATGGAGCTCATGTGTTCTTTTCTAATTGTCTTGCAATACATTTCTACTGAATGAGGCAGTTGCATGCATGATCTGGACTGCGAATTAGGATGCTTATTTGAAGCTACCATATCTCAATCCAATGATAGAAAATAATAATATTATTTGCATTAGCATTCCATAAGTTGATGCATTTTGTATTCGCATGCATCAGTTTAAGTTATGATACTCACATGCAAGCATCAGTATGTCTTTCTCCTGACTTAGCCTTGCTTTCTGAAATATGATCTTTTACAGCAAACCTGAACTTCAGTTTAAGTTATGATACTCACATGCTGCTGTCACCCAACAATGCAAATGCCCACCTCAAAGAAAGAACTGTCTTTTTTTCTTTTCACATGCAAACATTGGTATAAGCCTACTAGCTTTGCACTGTATGTATTTGAATTACATATGCCATTAGTTGCATTTATGTATCCCACTGGATAGAATTGATTGAACCTTTTGTTTGTCTCTGCTGCTCCCCTGATCAATGCAGTTCCAAGGACTCGGCGAACGCCTTTTCGCTGATGACAGCTTCCTTGCCAAGCTCGTTGTAGAGTGCAGCGTCAGGTATTGCCAAGGTCTCCGTCTACGTCAACAGCCGCTACTTCTTCTATGACACCCGTGAGAGGGACGTTGTCTACGTCCTACTATGATGGCGAGCCACGATGGTGCCGATGAGAAGCTGCTCGAGCAGGCGAAGGCGAGTGTCGACTCGGCGGGGGGCTGCTAAGGGTAGTGACAGTAATAAGAGTTGTCTGTAATGCATTTGACTTGCCATGAGGTTGTATCTCCATATGTGCCATGCATACCTAATGTCCTCCATACATGTGCACAAAGTATGCTTGCTTTCCTAAAAAATATTAATCTGTGATGAACTTACAAGTCTGTTGATTGGGCGGCTGCAAATCAGGCACCGCCCAGCTCCCTTTCAGGAGGCGCCACCGGGTGGCGCCCCAACCACTAGTTTGTGATAGCTATGGATGCACTCACCGTGATTACAAGCAGGACCATGGAAGAGGGTGTGCTCAGGTCATATGCAAGAATCAACGCTAAGCAACACTTATCTATCTGCAATGATGATGTTGTCCTATTCATTCGTCCGGTCGTGCAAGATCTTTGCTTCATCAAGTGTGCTCTCAAAGTTATTGGCGAGGCCTCGGGCTTGCGTGTGAATTACAGGAAATCTTCTGCAATTTTGATCAGAGGGGAGTAGGAGGATCGTTTGAGAGTGGAGGATTTGTTGCAATGTGCGTTGGTTGAATTCCCGTGCAAGTACCTCAGCCTACATCTTGCCATCAAGCAACTCACAAAAGCTGAGTGGCAACCTATGCCTGACCAAGTCAGGAAATTTTCTAGCTTGGCGGCGGGGGCTTATGCAACAATTTAGATGGCTGGTGTTTGTCAAATATGTCATTACTGCTAAGCCGGGCAAAGTTGTTGGTTATTGACGCGCCTGGATGGGTCTTTGAGGACATGAACAACTGGAAAAGATTGGGCCAATGGAGGATGGTGCCTCGTACCCTGGAACACCATTTATTAGCCTACGTGCTTTGGACGGCTAGGAGTTAGGAACCTAAGGCTGGAAACACTCTTTCTTCGGGTGCGCTGTGAGTGTCTTAGGCGATCGGACCCCAACAGTCCATGGTAGGGGCATGCTTTAATGGTTGATATTGATGCACACATGGTCTTTGACAACGTGGTTAGCATCACGTGGGCAGAGGGGACAGAGCTTTGTTCTGAAGGGATAGATGGATCCATGGGTTTTCAGTTGAGGATATTGTGAAGTTTCTCTTTGCACGTGTCCACACCCACATCCCAAATTGCAGAACAGTGCAACAAGCAATGGTGGAAGAGCGATGGGTTTAGGACATTCACGCACCACACTTATTTCATGGAGCAACTGCAGTTGATGCAGTTGTGGCATGTCATCGCTATCGTTCAGTGTGATAGGCAATCTTAGGATGTCTTTGCTTGGCCTAGCACGACATCGGGTGTGTATTCAGCCAAGTTCACATGCATGTGGCATTGTCAGGGGTTTATCTTCTCACCGATGGTTGCTTGCATTTGATGAAGTTGGGCACCTCTTAAATGCAGAATCCTTGCCTGACTAGCTAGCGGCTCAATAATGACTATGGACCATATATCAGCATACTTGTTACGGCCTTCAAGATCACCCCTTTGTGTGTTATACATATCTGCAGGAAGAAGACAATGTCAACCACACCCTCGCTCAATGTGTCTACGCAAGAGAAGTGTGGCACTCCCATTTTGATGCGCTACAGCTGAATTTCATGTTGTATCTGATACATTCATCGCATGGTGGCTCATGAATCTAATGAGCTTCCGGAGGGCGGACAAGCATGGTTTTGATTCATTGGTGATTGGAATCACCTAGTCTTTGTGGAAGCAAAAAAATGCGAGAGTCCTCCACCGAGTGGAATAGCAAAAGATGCCTTACTGCCTGCTCTTCAAATGTTAGATGAGATTAGGGATTGGAAGCCATCAAGAGTCAGTGTTGATGGCTTACAATGGTTTGTGAGAGATTAGGTTACCTAGCTAGGCTTGGTTGGTGTGGGTGTACCTATGATAATGCTTGCATCATTGATAGGTTTCTTGTAATCAAACTTCACCCCCTTCTATAAAAATATGGTACGCTATTGGCGCACTCTTGACAGAAAAACTTAACTATGAAACATCCCTCACATCAACTAGCTTAATACTCTTGTGTTACCACAGAAGAAAAAAATCATAGTGAGCAAAAAAAAAAATCTCTCCCGTTTCTTCCCCCTCATTAACCGTTGTTTTTTCTTAAACATCCTCTCCTTAAAATAAGTGATGGCATGTGATTTCCATCCATACAGTGACAAACTGACTCTCTTTCAACGTTTCTTCCATTTGGTAAGCATCTTTTCTTCTTAACTACGCTCTCCGTGCAAGAAGTGATGGCATGTGATCTCTCGGCGTAGCAAGTTAAAAGCATGCTTTCATGGTATGTCAAAATGATACTTCATTTATTTCACCAATTGATTGTAAATAATAACAACACCTAAAGGAAAGGTGCAAATCAAAGTTGTACTCACACAAAATTGCAAAGAAAGAAAATAAAAATAGATGATGTGAAGGTGTGAATGTAGTACATAAAATAACATTATTTGTTACCTCTGAGGATATAACACTCACATTATTTGTTACATCTAGGCTCTAGGGATATACCACTCATATTTCTCAATGGCATCAATGCACTATTCTGAGTAAAAATATGCACACCATTTCCATTTGCTAGAATTTGTGCGTCGAAGACAAGGATGCCAATAATAAGCGTTGTATATTTTCTCTAATTTTGTATGAAGAGGATACGAGGCGGTTATCGGACAAGCTCAAGTTGAGACTTTTAACCTAACTGCATAATTTAGTCGAGTCACTTTTTGTTACTATACATTGGTATAATAGAGAACTAAATGTTTTCTTTTCCCCCTTACTTCTACATCATCCTTGACCCACGCGCAAGCACGGTCACACACCCCAATACCCTCTGCCCCTATCGGTACACACAACTGTAGTTTCATGTTTGTTTGGTCACGTGCAACTGTAGTTGCATGCCTGCCGGCCCACAATCATCGGTTGCATGCAGTAGATATCTGACATACGTCTTCAACTAAATTGTTTATTTTTCAAAAAAAATCGGTCGATTTGCTGAAAGACCATTTGTTCCCCTAAGTGGGTTTTGGTGGAAATGACACTTGAATTGAGGACTAACCATGCTTATGAAATCCGCGGACAGATTGTTTTTCGGTTGCAAGCAAAGATGGATCGTGACTCCTTCCCCTCTATCCATGGAAAAGAGAGAAAAAAGTCAATGCATTTAAATTATGCATGTTTTTCGTTTCATTTGAGTCATCAGATAGCCACATTACTATGATGGGCCACATGATTAACTTGGAGTGGAGACTTATTGCCGACATATATCTTAAAGCATATTCCTTTGGAATAGCCACCAAAAAAACATTGGAGGAAAAGTCTTCATATACATCCTATATGTGCCTTTTTGTGTGGCACAAATATTTGTTTCGGATCATTCAAGATGAATATCTAGGGTTATTGAAGTTTTCCCAATAGATGGATTTTTGTGTGGGCCAATATGAAGCCCACCCTTTATTCTGC